GAGCCTGGGCGTCGACCCACACGCAGCCCCCCGCCCCCTGCCGCTGTGCGACCCCCCCCTGCAGGACCAGCCCGGGGTGGCGAAGAAGCCGCCGACTGTGCGCACGAATAAACGAAATGTACTCGCCAAGTCGAATAAAAAAGATCGGCAGCCCACTCGGAGCCCCATCGGGGGCTTTCGAGGACGCTGAGGGAAGCGATTCTACCTTCTTTCCCTCCCCTTCCGTGTCCCCCTGGATGGGATCCTCCCCTCCGTCGAGCTGACCCATCGCCGCCGACGTGAACCCGACCTCGCCGCTCACGAACTGCGCGTGAAAATGGTTAAACGAGAGGGTTAAATCGCGCACGAACGAATACGCTAGCCCGTGGCGATACACCAACATCAAATACGGCACTGAAAGAACGGTGGCGTCAAACAACTCCCACAACCCTGCCCGCCCCAGGTGAAACGGCAGCTCCTTCACGGCATACCGCTCGTAGGGGTTGGTACTACAGGCAAAGGCCTCGTTCGCCGTCGAGGACAAGTCGTAAAAGGCGGAAACATCTAAGCTTTTCTGCACAATGGAAAGATAATAGCGCGCGAGATGATCATGCCAAACCCGGTGGTCCATTTGCGCACGGGGAGGGGGGGGGTGAATTTTTCGTAGAAATTCGGCCGCTCATGCAGGGCATGCGCCTCGGAACGTTCCCGTTCGAGCTTCGATAAGTACGATTTAAAGGCCGGCGAGGTCAAGCGCACAAATCGATTGGGTAGATCCAGGTCCGTTTCGTGGGATTTTAATTGAAAAGTTCGAGGGAGCTCAATAGCGACTCGCATATAGCGCAGCATTTGGCGGAATCGCTGCGGGGGTAATTTTGTGAGCTCGCGTAAGTGAAGTTCGGGGATCCCCCATCGCGCCACCCCGAGTATGCCAAACACGCGGTAAATGATGCTACTCCCGAAAGTATCCACGAGCCGGTCGTAGAAGTACTTTGTCATCTCTTCAATGGAATCTGGAAGCAAATTTAAGAGTTGCGCGGACGATAACCCTCCGGCGTCTTCCACGTTAATACAAAGCGCGTCGATGAGATAGGTTAGGTATTCCGCGTCTTGCTGGATGTCATGCTTATACCGAGCAACATCCACCTCGTCATCAGTGAGTGAAATCCCCAATTCGGCGAGTACAGAGGGACTTAGGAGTCGCTCGGCATCGTGCGCGCTATTGAGCCCGATATTGAGCACCTCCATGCTGTCCCGATCCCAGTCCGTGAGCTTCTTTGCGAAAGCCTCACCGTTTTCATTCCCGGAGGCTACTCCACAGCTAAGGAGAATCCGCACATTTCGAGCAAGGCATCTGGGCAAGAGATCCTCGGGTGAAATCTTTTCCTGGCCAATACCCGAAACCGACGATGACTGGGGTTTTTTTCTCCTTTCGCCGCTGTTTTCGGAGGGCTTAAAAACGTTCCCCCCTTCCATGGCTGAGGAAAGCGCTTCACAGGGCCGCACAGGGGCGTCGATATCATCAATTCCATCTAAAACCACGGCGAAAATATGCTCCTGATGGAAAGGCATTTTCATGAGAGTATTATTACAAAAAGAGGTGGCGGTCGTAGTGGGAGTCGTTCCGCACCCGTCCTGCCCTTCACTCTCCCGCATCGCGAGCGTCGTCGTATCGCAGTCCGGGATCGCCAAATCGTCCTCAGCATCGTTTGTTGGACGCCGGATAATGCTTTTAAATCGGAGCTTCGAATCCAACGCGCTGCGGCCGGTGAAGAATTTGATAAAAAAGCTCCGAAGTCGATCCGTATCCACCTCCAGTGTGAGGTACTGCAAAATCTCAGGGTTGGTGGTGAGTTGCGCGAGGATTGAGCGCATCACGGCGTGCATATCAGTAGGCTCCTCCTCAAACAGCGTCAGCCGCGTGGTGTGAAAAGCGATACCGGCGAAAACGTGGCCGTTAAAGAAATTATTCGTGGAGATCTTCCGGTCGTTTTGAAAGCGTTTGAGCGCGGTCGCCGCGGTGGAGGCTAGGACGGCTGTCAGCATCACGTTATCGCTCGCGCAAACCGCAAAGCTATTTCGGCTGATGGGACTAAGAAGATAAAGATTGAGCTGATCACTCAACGCCTTTTTCACGGTACTGCAGGCAGTAATCATATCCAGAATGGATCGCGTCTCACCGCGGCATCGTAACGCGGTGGTCAAAAGGCTACGATCCCAGAGATCCTGGTCGGAGGAATCCTCCGTAAGGCTTTTCACCTCCTCCCCCGGAGTCTCAGAGGAGAAGGAGGAGAAAACGATGATGCGCAGACGTTGATAGATTGCCTCGGCGAAATCGTCGAGTTCACCCAGGCAGACATTCCCGAACTCGTCGATCCTTTGAAAGATGGCGTGGTAGGGGCTGACGAGGAGTTCAGGGATCGGCATAGTGGAGAGGACGCCCGCGCGAAAGTCGCAATGGTCTCGCCACGCCCGCCCTTCACCAGAAAGGACCTTCCCTCCCCACTTCGAATCCCCATACGGGCCTTTGACACCGGGCTCGGCGGACAGAAGCGGGGTGAGGGCGGGGGGGAGGCCCATCCCCTTCGTCGCCCGGCGGAGCCCGACAAGGAGAAACCGGCAGCCCTCCACCGCGAGGTCGTGTGCGGCATAAAAGAGAGGGCGGCCTGGATCCGGGCGCGTAGGAGCCCCCTCCCCTGGTGTGTAATCCCCTGCGCGGTCGCCGAGCAGCTCAATCGCGAGGAATCGCGCGCGTCGGACGTCGGCGAGGAGGTCGCAGGACGACCCCGCCTCCCCATCCCCCACCACAAGTGGGTCAAGGCGAATTCGCCACCGGTGGAGCTCCGCATTGAGGCGGGGAAAGACGTCACAGCGGAGCCGTCGCAGTTCCGAGAAGAACAGCCGCGGCGGCGCGAGGATCGCGACCTCGATAACTCGCCAGCCCGTCTTGGGATCGGCCGGGGGAAGCAAGCCGCCGCATTCGGGGTCGACCCCGCGAAGATGCGCCTGCAAGCTCGCGAGCCGCCCTTCCTCGCGAGGACCCCAGGCGGTCGAGCGGCGGTGGGACGGGGCCGTGCTGGCCTCCGAGATCGAGGGGAGGGCCCTCGTGACGGAACCGGCCCGCAGTGGAGGGGGGGTGGGAAGGGGCCGGCCCGGCCGCCGTGACACGGGGGAAG